GGGGGGGGGGCGGGCTAGAGCATAATTACATCACTACAGCATAATAGGGGAGGCGTGGCCAAAAGGCTTAACCAAATAAGAGATAGTAGGCTCCTAGCCTCTAGCAGGCTTCAGGAGGTGGCCGCAAAAAGTAGAAAACGGCCAAATAGAGAGATAGCATTCCAAGGGAGTTGGTCTGCTGGAGAGAACAGTTTGCCGCTCCCCTGGCATGCTATCTCTCTATCTGGCCGATTTCTACTCTTTGCAGCCGCCTCCCGAAGCCTGGTAGAGACTAGTGGGCTCCTAGTATAGAGGGGTATGGCAGCTTTCTGTGGATTTCTGTATATGATTTACAATTTGCAATGGCACATTGTGCGTGCGTTTATTCAGACAATTAAATGACTCTTTTGTACCAAAACCTCAACATTTATTTTCCAAGACAAAACCATACATGCATGTGTCAATGTTCACATTTCTTTTCATTCTACATGTATATTTGTAGCAAAATATATACAATGTTCACAACAATTGACAGTGCTAGAATTCAGTAGGTGATTTTTAAGAAGTGTTCTAGAGAAAATAAAACATCTATGATATATTCTGTTCAATGCATAGTCTGGATTCTTGAATCAACCCTGTATAACATCATTTACATGGTATCAATGTGCAGAAAACAGTATTATAATAGAATTCTTTTGGTACAAGGCTGAAATATACACTGCAATACAACTGAATTGCTTCTTGCTTTCTCACTAATATGACATTTCAAAAAGTGCTTTTTTTATCATAAAAGGAAAACCTACAACTACCGTAAAGTAAAGAATAGTTGCAGAAATATACAGAAATGCTATGGTTCTCTATACAAATATTTAACGCCAAGTTTATATGTAGCCTAAAAGTTTATTTTAAAAAAAGTGGAAAGAAAACTTTTACACATATAAGTTCACATGATAGGCAGCTGTACAACTTACTTTGAGAGAAGAAACATCATTGGTTAACATACTATAACAATTCTCATTGGCTAGCATTACATGTGCCTGTTTGTGGTTGGTTGTTGCAACAGCATGTAAGAAGTCATTTCATTGGTCCCCAAAAAGATGAAGTCCTGATTGGTCAGTTCAAGGGTATTTGGCCTTCTCATTGGCCAGTGCCAGCCTCCTGATGTTACCAATACAACCGGCTGCAGCTTCCTGCAAAGCTTCGTCAGTGGAGCCAACCATGTCCAATAGCAGCTGAGGAAAACAAAGGAAATAAAAGAGGATAAATAAAAATACATGTATTTCTACATAGAAAATTACACTCATTGTCTGAGGCTATTTTTTAACCTTCTCCCTGCTGCCTAACTTCACAGTCAATACAAATTCAGAATCAAACAGCTACATTAGATGGTTACATGAAAAAAACAACAGGATTTAAAATAGATGAGTTCAAAATAAATAAGCATAATCAGCAACCACCTGTTATACAGGTGTAGTAATAGAAAAATAACATCAGAATGTCAGCCCTTCTTTTTGTTTATCAGGTACACATCCCAGCTTTTGAATCTGGAAAAGTCCCCCCGAATTTCCTGTCTACTCATGCAATTGAAGTGCACCTGGGAGTGAACATAAGCAAAATAGAGTTGACTTCAAGTTGAAGTCATAAAATACTTCCCCCCCCAAAAAAACAGGTTGGGACAGTTCATCCTCACTTCGGGACAATTGAAATTTATTTTTGAGATAGTCCTGGGACAATAGGAAGAAAAGTTAATTTCGAGGAAGAGAATTAATCACAAAACAAAAATGGATGTTTTAATGTCTTGATGGGGTTGTGTGGCGCAATGGCAGCTTGCGCAACTCGGAATTAAGAGGTCCTGGGTTCGAGTCCTGACATGCCACTGATCTTGTGCCCTTGGGAAAGGCACTTTATGACTTTCCTCACTAGACTCAAGTATTGTCTGTCCAGTATTCGTTTCTATGTACGGGACACAACACCAGCAACAGCTGCCTCTGTTCCGCATGTATTGTACTGTTCAATAAATCAAATCAAATGCCTTACCTTGACCACCCCAGCGTTGTGCATAGTGATGCAGTTCTCGGGGTCTCTGGACAGCTGGAACAGTGCCTGGGCGGTGGCTCGGTGGACAGACTCGTCTGGAGACTTCAGGTACCGTACGAGCGGCGCGACAGCGTTCGCCTCGCCGAAGGCGACACGGTTGTTCCCCCACATGCAGCAGCGAGCGATGGCTTCCGCCAGATGTCGTCTCAACTTGTCATCAGTCTAAACAAATAAATAAACAAACAAACAATGATGAATACATTCAAAGGCAATTCAAAGGAAAACATAATTGTTTTTGCTCTGTTTCTACTTCTTCTTCTTCTCCAAACCAATAAGGTCAATGACTTGAACCAGACGTCTGTCACCATGGTAACTAGTGTTAGGTTATATCATGTTGCAATTTTATAGCAGGAGGGATTTAGTCTCCTGTCTGACTATATATATGGATGTTTTTGAGTAAGAATTAACAGAGCAGACCATATGTGAAGGTATACATTATGCATGTAACTATTAACACAGATGCTTTGCAAATGTTAGCTTTCTACATGTTGTGTAGTTGTCATTGTAATACTATAAGGAACATACCGTGTTTGTGAGTTTAGCAAGCATGGGCACTACGCCATGGTCCGTGATGACTGCCAGGTTCTCCTCGTCCTTGGCGATGTTCGCGATGGCGGCGCAAACGCTGGCGAGAACCTCCTTGTGCTCGGACTTGAGGAGACTCACGATCAGCTCCAAGCCGCCCACAAATGACCTCACCATCTCACCCGCATCCTACAAAACATAGGTGATACAGACGTGTTAGGGGAGCATCCAAAAATACTGAAACTACACACTTGAAGAAATAAGTTTGGCATCACCCACATCCTTTAAAACATAGGTGATGTAGACGTGTTAGGGGAGCATCCAAAAATACTGAAACTACACTCTTGAAGAAATTAGTTTGGCATCACCCACATCCTTTAAAACATAGGTGATACAGACGTGTTAGGGGAGCATCCAAAAATACTGAAACTACACACTTGAAGACATAAGTTTGGCATCACCCACATCCTTTAAAACATAGGTGATACAGACGTGTTAGGGGAGCATCCAGAAATACTGAAACTACACACTTGAAGAAATAAGTTTGGCAGGCTAGCATGTACAATTTCCCTTTGGATTATTTTTGTCCCAGCATCAATGAAGATAATATGTGACAGTTTTCAAATCTATCTATGTTACTTCAGTAACAATTTCCTTGTGTATCTCATTACCTGGATGTCTAACCTTCATCGACCTATAATAATATGTGGTTAAGGATGAACAAGTGCAAACAATTGACACAGTAATAACACTATATTAACTGCTTCAAGAAGGTTTCATAGGTACATGCATACTTCTTACTCAAGCAAGCCAGTAAGTTTCTCAAGCAATCTCTTATAGATCCATATTCACAATGATGTGTGTGACACTACAAATTTTTCTCCAAGAAAATTACCTTAGGAACTCTCCCCCCTGCCCAATTTTTCACTTTTCTGATCCCCTCCCGTGAATGTTAATGAACGGTCCCTTTATATGAGTCACGCCGGGGGGAGGGCCTAGGAAAAAATTTTGAGCCAGGGGAGGGCCTAGGAAAATTTTTTTGACCTGGGGAAAAAATTTTTGACCTGAAGGGAGGGCCTAAGAAACATTTTTTGACCTGGGGGGAAGACGTAGGAAACATTTTTTGACCTGGGGGAGGGCCTAGGAAATTTTTTTTACCTGGGGGGAGGGCCTAGGAAAAAATTTTTTTACGCTACCCCTGGACGACCTAACCTCCCCCCGCTAAACACTGCACGGTCCCTTATTTTAAAGAAGATAGCATCAGCATACAGGGCAATTTGCTAGTAGCTGAAGTGAACATTCTGCCCACTCAAGTGTTGTGCAGACAGAAATTCCCAGGTCGGACGCTCGGCCCATTACAATCCCTGCTCCCATTTCCCCTTACTGCCAACAATGTTTTCCTTCCAGCGCGCAAAAACGGTAAACACGCGCCGTGTACCTTTCACTGTTTGTGTAAACGGCGGTCGGAAAGTGCCCAACAACACACAAACGCTCTGTCATGTTGGGTATATGGGGACGTCATGCGATAGGCTTGATCCGCCACTGTTTAGGTTATTTCCGAGGCACTTTGTAGAAAGACTTGGGGCTTCTCTGTTTCTTAGCACTTCTAAGGAGCTATCAGCACCTCCTTTACTGCTCAAAATTCTTCACAATCTTAAGGCTCACTTTCACGTACCCCGATCTGGTTTAAGTCTCAAAAGAGAGAACTACAAGACTAGTAAAGTGCTGTTACATCTTCAAATCACACATAACACACAATTGTACTTAGTATAATGCTATGTTTTTTTTTTTGACAATGTGGAATGACAATTTTTACAAAAAAGTAATAGCGCAAAGTTTAACAAAGACATTAGGCAACAACCTTGAAAAAAAAACTGCAAAAAAACTGCTCTTGAAAGGATTCTGCTTGATAAAACATGTGTACTGGTATACATTGTATGTTCTTGAAACCCTGAATAAGTCCCATGTAAACCACTTACAAGTAGTTGGAATGTATCCTATTCTTTCCTGCACAAAAGAGTAGCTTTGTACTAAGGAAAGCTAGGAGAGATTTAAGGGCTAATCTTATCACAATGTTAACAGAATCTTATTAATAAGCCTGTAAGGATTTAGGAGGGCCTACATGGGGGGGTATAGTGGTTACGAATTACGCAAAATTTTCGCCGCCGATTACGAATTATGTTAACGTCTCAGAGCTGATTACGACTTTACGATTTGCAGCTAATGTTCTATTATGAATTACATTGATTTTAGGGGAGGCTGCCTACGAATTACGAAGTCTAAAAAGGCCTGATTACGCCTTACGAAAAAGGGCATGCAGGCCCTCATTTAGGAGCCCCCAGTGCAACACTGCATTCATTTTAATGATTTATAATCAATGTATTCTAAGGAATTCTTAAAAAGGGGCCAAATCATGACTACCAGGACTGGTACTAAGCTTATGTTATAATCTGAATCATAATTATCATTATTGTGGTCTTCTACATTGTTGTACTTTTATTTACATCTGTCTATGGATACAAGCAGCTGCTGTTGCAACAATATCCTTTTGGGTGCATCTAAAAATTTTTTTTTTCTGACATCCAATTAAAAAACTCAAAATGAAATGATTGATTTGTGTCAAAAACGTTGAAATGTTAGAATTTCTTGCCTTACATAAACTGCAGGATTCCACCAAATTTTGGAATGCCTGTCCCTGCAAAATGGCCTGGAGGTTCAAATTCAGTGAACTGGCACCCACTGTAGTGCTTTTATATACATAACTGTGTGGGTGTGGCCTGAGGGTAGAGAAATGGAGAAGGGCACTGCCTTATACACTGAGAGATGTGGGAAGGATTTGAACCATTTCAGAATCCCTCAGTCCTAAGTCTTTACCAGACTCCAACAATTAAGTTGCTCTAAAATAGGGTTTCGAAGTGTATTGGCTACAAATGTATGTCGAGTCTATTTGCCCAATTTCAACTATTTTCAAGCAACTCATTGGAACTACTAGTAACTAGAGACTATATATATCCTCAGGCATATTTTTTTTCTCAGAATGCAAATATGCCACAAATTTTCGCTGTAAGCAAAACCCTTGGACAAAAACAGCCACACAGCTGTAGGAAGTCTGGCACATGTGGGTACAGGTGTTTAACATGTAACTCAACTGCAGCCGCGACAGCTGTACAGTGTAAGCCGGGGTGTTGAGAGTGTATGAAATGGCTGGACTGGTCCGGTGTAACTGCCGCTTTGGTGTGCTACATGGGGGCCTACATGGGGGGGGCGTAATCGGCCGTTTTAATCCTACGTAGAGTGTAGACGGACCACTCTTCACATTTGCGTAGAGCGTATTCGCCGTTTTAATGCTACGTAATGCGTTGTAGCCACTTGGAATTTATCGTAAAAGAGGGTTTAAAGCGTAATCGAGGGTTTCCGAATTGAGCAGAGAGCATTGTCGGGACCCCCCTTGCAGGCCCTCATGGGGGGGGTCCAGACAATGCTCTACATGTACGCTAAATTTTGAGAGCCAGCTATGAATTCAGGAAGCCTCTCGATTACGTTTTACAATAAATTCCGGGTGGCTACAACGCATTACGTAGAATTAAAATGGCAAATTACGCTCTACGTGGCAATTGCACTCTACGTTGAATTAGAGCAGTCCGTCTACACTACGTACAATTGAAACGGCTTACTAAGCTCTACGGAAAATGCCACAATTACGTTAAATTAGAGTGGTCCATCTACGCTCTACCTACAATTAAAATGGTGAATTACGCTCTACGCAAAATGCCACAATTACGTTAAATTCGAGTGGTCCGTCTACGCTCTACGAACAATCAAAACGGCCGATTATGCTCTACGGAAAAGGGCATACAGACCCCCGTGTAACTGAGGCAGTTGTGTGCTATGTTGTTAGTGCTCCCAGAGGAGGCTGGGAAATTCCTACCCTGACTGAGAATTTACATGCAAGTCTGAACTTGTAACAACAAAATGGGCCTGATTTGACATTGCTGGGACGATCCATTTCAATCCATCAAGGGGGAGGCAAGAAAAGCATTTGTACATGTACAATGTACATGTAACACATTCAGTCCTTGCAAATCCTTAGTTAAATGGGAGGGGGTGAATACTATGGGATTCAATGTGGTTTTGTCCATAGTGCTAAAAGACTTTTCATTGACAAATTATATCTGGATTAAAATTTTGAATGTAACCATATTGTTGACCAAGGAAACTAACAATCACATTTTATGGTTTGTGATGAAAATCTAAATGTTATATGAAGATCTTGATGATGTAATTGACACATTTTAGATCATATCCTGTTGCCGCTTTGTTATTTATTTTAAAAGATGATCCTACAGAAAGGTCAAGATGTTACAGTTTCACAAAGTTTAACGACGATGTCACAAAAATTCCTCGACTTCTAAACAGTTTTCCAAGCCAGTAAGTAGAATTTCCTGACCAATACCTGAACAAAATCAGAATAGCACTCTTCTGGAAAGTTAAACATTCCAAGTTCCAACTTTCCGAGCTTTTAGGCAGAATTCCACAAATTCCCATTCTGGTGAATCACGTTTTGTTTTCAGGAAATTTTTAAGACAACACAGGGCCTGCTTACAGCCTTCCCCTGAGGTATTACAGCCTTAGACAAGAGCAGTTTTGTTTGGAGTCGCCTCATTGGCTGCCCAACCTTGAAGCCCCATTACTAGAACTGACAGGATGTGGAGGGTAAACTGCAAGGTCAAATGCACTGTAGACAGACAGCTGACAGCCGACGTATCAGTGGGGGCCTGCATTTTCTTTTCCATAGAGTGTAATCAGCCATTTTAGTAGAGCAATATAATAAGGCGGACCGGTCTATTTCAACATAGAGCATAAAATTGTCACATTTTGCGTAAAGCATAATTTGCCATTTTAATCCTACGTAATGCGTTATAGCTACCTGGAATTTATCGTAAAGCGTAATTGGTGTACTTGGAGTCAATGAAAAGATTTGTTTTTAGCTTTCGTTTATATAAAAAAAGGCATTAACTGTGTAAAAGCTTAAAAGGTACACATTTTTTAAAGTCCAGTTTCATGCCGCGTAGCCAGGATTTTGAATGGGGGGGTTCTTCCCACTGCTTGAGGAACCAGCGAGCACGAGGTTCCTAGGGGGGTCCCGGGGCATGCTCCCCCAGGAAATTTTGAAAAATGAACCTTCTGAA